GCCGCGTGAAACTCTGCGCCCCTGGAAGGGAAGGGGCGTGTGACGCAGTCGCCGTCGCCTAAGGCCACATTCCGATTCAGACCTGACGCCCCCGGCGCCCGACCGTGCGCTGAGACGGCCTGGCCTCAGTTTCCGCGCTTCGAAAGAGGAGGAGCCATGCTGTCCTGTTTCTTGTTCCTCTCCAAGCATATCGGCGCTTCGCTGGTGTCCCTGCGCAACGCGCGCCGTGGCTTTGCGCTCTCCCCGCGCTGGGTCCCTGGGGGCCCCTCGGGCCACTGGCCTGCCGTCCCCCGCCGCCCGCTGGTCGCCGCCTCCTCCTCCGGGGACCCAGCCGGGCCCGCCTCCGCCCCCTCCCGGGTGCGCCAGAACTTCCACCCCGACTCCGAGGCCGCCATAAACCGCCAGATCAACCTCGAGCTCTATGCGTCCTACGTGTACTTGTCCATGGCCTATTACTTCTCCCGAGATGACGTGGCCTTGAACAACTTCGCCAGGTATTTCCTTCGCCAGTCCCGGGAGGAGACAGAGCACGCGGAGAAGCTGATGAGGCTGCAGAACCAGCGAGGAGGCCGGATCTGCCTGCAGGACATCAAGAAACCCGACCGAAACGACTGGGAAAGCGGGTTGTATGCCATGGAGTGTGCTCTGCTCTTGGAGAAGGATGTGAACCGGTCGTTGCTGGAATTGCACACCCTGGCCTCAGATAAAGGTGACCCCCATTTGTGCGACTTCCTGGAAACCCACTATCTGAACGACCAGGTGAAGTCTATCAAAGAACTAGGTGACCACGTGCACAACTTGGTTAAGATGGGGGCCCCGGATTCTGGCCTGGCGGAGTACCTTTTTGACAAACATACCCTCGGAAATGAAAACAATTAGAACTAAGCCTCAGGGTGCCTTCCCAGGGTGTGCCAGGAGCCACAGTTAGCTATCTCTTGCTTTCTTACCCTTAAAATGCACCTCCACCTTTATATTCTTCTGTTATACTGTTCTTCCAACAGAGTGATTTGTAGAGAAAATGTATTTAGCCCTACGTTAACAAGGGTGTTTTGCCCAGCATCAAGATAATTTTCCCAGCCTGAAAAGTAGCCCAGGATACTATGGAACGGCAAAGACTGCAAAGAAGCTGCTGAAAATAGACCCGAACTAACTTTCTCCACTTCCCGAATATTATTCCAGACCGTGAACCTTCACTAAAATTTCGTGATTTTCAACTCAGCAGGTGCCTGTTATTTTCAAGACTTTATGCTAAACGCTAAAGTGGGGAAATGTGTTAGATAAATAGATAAATAACTGTAACAAAATGAAGATTCTATATAGTACTGTAAAAATCATACATGCAGAATTCTATGACAACTTTTACCCTTTCAAGAAACAGTAATGTCTGGAGATGATCTATTTTTAAAGGGTTTTGTGATCAAATAAATTTAAGACAAACTATGTAAAGTATCAGTGCTGGCTTTGGAAAGTCACAATATATATTAGCATTTTAAGGGCTCTGGGAAGTCTTGCAATTAAAAACAAAACAAAACAAAAAAATAAAGACTTGGATTACTTTTGTTTAGCTCAGTGTTTCCCAAACATGTCTTAGCTAGTTTTTTTTTTTTAAATGATGATACTATAACTATCCAGGTCTGTCTGATTATAAACTCTATACACTTCCCTGATAAAGACTCCCTTTTAACAAACCAAAAAGAGTGAGGACACTGCAGAAAACACTCTTGTATCGCCTTTGTAATGGAGGGGAAAGAACACTGGGGTGGAAAAATGAGAAAGGGATCCAGAATGAAGGAGGCATCCACTGGGCGAATGATTTCTTGCCTGGGGGAGGGGCGGGGGATAAGATGAGTGGGAGAATATTTGGTGAGCAGGCCTCGGCCTAGACTAAGCAGTGGTGGTGTTTGGAAAGATGGGCTGGAGCCAGCCTCAGTGTGGAGGTAAGAGGGAGAGGTTAAGCTTAATTTAGTGAGCAATGGCAATGCTTTGAAGGGCTCTCCACAGAAGAATGTTGTGCTAAGAGTTGAGCAATCAGAAGTTTAGGTGCACAGAATAAAAATCTGAGAACAACCTAAATGTCTGTGTTAGTTGGGGCCCCCTGAGAAACAGATGGCAAGATGAAAGTGTGTACAAGAAATTTATTGGCAGAAACAGAAAGACCTGTGAGAGAAAATGGGAAAGGAGCTGGGAGAAGAAGCAGGGAGAGCCTTCAGACGCCACGCAGGGCAGATCCTGAGGGAAGGAAGACAGGAAAGCTGTGCATAGTTCTAAAGAAAGTTCTGCAAGGCTGTCAGGGAGACCTCCAGCCAAAGTCACTGGTAAGAGGAATGCCAAGTCTCCAAGAATTGGGCCTGCCTGAGCACATTTCCCGCGTTCCATTATTGACTGGGAGCCACTGATAGGAAGTGCAGCCTTACAACAAACTAAGAGATGAATCAATTTTATAGCTCAGCAGCTGGGGTCCTTGGTAAATTGTGTTCCCTGCAGTCCCAGAGCTGAGAGGCACATGCACGTGACTGCGCAAATTCAACAAAATGGTTTAGATTAAAACACCGTACGTGGAACACTCCACAGCTATTAAATGGGACTATTTCAAACATAATGAACTGAGCAGAAATTCACAATGTGTTATCTTAAAAACAAGCATATTACAAGACAGGGTTACATTGCATAGTTGTATAGAGATAATTACAGAGAAAAGTATATAATACATATGCATATAAAATGGAAGTATATACACAAACAAGTGAAACTAGATAATCTCTTAAATAGTGAAATTGTGTTTATTTTCTTTAGTTACTTGTCTTTTTTAAAATAAATTTCTTATTATGGACACCCATTAGTATCATAATAAAAAAGGTAAAATATAAGATGGAGCAAAAGCAACAAGGGCCTGAACCGTGGTAAAACCAATGGAAATAGAAAGAAAGAGATGCTGGTGAGAGTTTAGAGGCAGATCTTTTAAATTTTGCAAATGATTAAATGGAGAGAGTTACAGAAATGGGGTACAGGAAGAAAATTGATAGATCTCAAGTCTGTGTTACTGGAGAATAGAGGAGTTAGGAATAAATGGAGGTCTCAGCAGGAGGAATGATTAGGGGTGGGGACTGCATAGTGATTTGCTTTTGAATTTGCTGATCAGTCTCATGTTACATTCTATCCTTAAGTTAGTTTATTTTGCTGCGCAGGAATCTAACTACATTTCTTTAGAAAATTTCTTATTCATTTCCTCTAGATGTGTGTTTCAAACTGCAGATTGCAACCCATTAGTGTCATGAAGTTATTTAGTAAGTCACTATTCACCTTTTGTTAATAACATGGAATTGAATTGAAAGTAAGTGAAGTGAGAGTATTTTCTCTCGAAACTCTTATTTTGTGTGGTGAGGGGGTGTGTTCATGTATTTACATCCAGGATAGTGGTATTTTTGTCCTTTGTTGCTGTCAAGACATTCAATAACCACTATCCTAGATAATTATTTTATGTTTTCTCAGTTCTCTTCAAATCTCTAAATCTCCTTCCCCTCCCAACCCATCCCCCCCCAGCCCAGCCAGTTGATAATCCTCTTATTTCACTGAGAATTTAGAAGTAATCACAGGAGAACTTCACACTTTCCCATCATTGAATTAATCACATATTTATATCAGTATTCACGTACAAAGCTTTCCATTCTACGACAATGACTGAAGCATCTACGTTGTTTCCTAAAACCAACATCCCACTGTGCCCAGAATCTCAACCCTCTCACATACTCAAGGATACAAGGACACCACCCATACAATTATCCTCTCACTTGCATCATCAATTTTGCCCTTTCTATTGGTTGGTTCTCCTGAGAAGCAAAAATGGTGTTACTTCTCCTCATCTTTTTAAAAAAATACCGCCTTTGGAGTTGCATTCCCTCCAGCAAACACTGAGCTGCCACAATTTACTCAGCTCTCTTTTACAACAAAACTTCTTGAAAAAGTTATTTCTGCTTCCTGTCTCCACTTCTGTTCTCTCTTGATCCTTCGCAAGTAAAGCTGTTTTCTCTGTTCACCACCACAGCTTCTCTTTTTCCTCTTATAGCCGTTAGTGCCTTTCACGTTGATAAATCCAATGGTCATTTCTCAGCCTTCTTCTTAACCAACCGGCTAGCAGAAATTGTCATTTTTCTGTTGAAGCACTCACGTGCCGTTCTGTATCGTGGTCTCCCTTTCTAATTCCCTCATCTTCCTGACCTTTAAACATTGGGGTTTAAATTTTAAATAGTAAAAGTGAACTCAGTCCTCACATCTATACCTCTTCTCTTCTTTGTGTATACTTGTTCTCTAAAGATTTCATAGTTCTGTGACTTTTATTTAAATATGTATCTGTTGACAAATGACCTACTTATATGATTTGCTTGACCTCGCCTCTGAATTCCAGATTTTATTTTGAAATACTTAGTTGATATTTCCCCTCATATGTCTGACATTTCGTATCTAATATGTTCAAAACCATACTCTTGATTTCACCGTTCTCCACAACCTGTTCAATCCAAAATCTTTTGCTTCATAATAGATGAAAACTCCATTCTACCAGTTTCTAAGGCCCAGTCATTGTTGACTATTCTCTTTCTCTCATACCTTATACCAATCCTTCAGCAAAACCCTTCAGGTCTTCCTTCAAAATAGATCCTGAATCTTAACACTTTTTACAACCTTGATCATTGCTACTTTGGTCCAAGCTCCCATCGCCTTTTCCTGATTACATTTTATGTTACACTCTTGAGTGGTCTAACCGCTTCCACACTTGAGCACACACAATCATTTCTCTACAAAGAAGCCAAAGTGTTGTTTTTTTTTTAAGTATAAGTCAGAGCTTGTTGCTTCTATGCTTAAAATCCTTCAGTGGCATATCCTCTCATTTGTAGTCAAAGTCCTTACCATACCCCACAAGGTCCTATGTAATATGTACCAGATATGTATGTGTGTATATAAGAGTGTAAGAAGCAGTAAGATTATAAGTGATAAAATTATATATTATAAAATATATAGATAATGAAGTCAAAGAGTTTTCTCTCTCTCTCCATATCAGATATCTCTATCTCTATATGGAGAGAGAACATCTCTTTGGCTCACTCTACTCCAGTCACATTGGCCAGCTTGTATCTCAGCACTTCTGTTCTATGGGGAACATTTTGCCCCAGATGTGATCATGTTGTGAACTCTCACTCCCTTCCAGTTTCTGCTCAAGTGGCATTTTATAGAGATACTTCATTGATCATCCAGTCTACATCAGTCACCACATTTTGCGTCACTCTCTGTCCTCTGACCTGATTTGTTTTTCTCCATAGCCCTTACTACCACCTGACACATTTTTCATTTGCTTATACTTTCTTCTCTCACTAGAATGCAAGCTCGGGGGGACAGGGACTTTGTTTTGTTCACTACTGTCTCCACAGCTCTGGAGCAGTACTGATCTTTCAGTAGGTCCTCAGTGAATGTAAGTGAATGAGTGAGCGAGTGAATGAAGATATCCAGAAACCAGTTGAAAGTGCTGGTCGGCATCTTTCAAAAAGCTAGTATCAGAGAAGTGAATCTGGAAATTATCCATATGGAGATGATAAGTTAAACTGTGAAGAGGCTGAACTGACAAAGAGAAGAGAGAAAAGACAAGCAGAGGAGAGGGGTCCAAATATGCAAACTTGGAAAATTGGAGGAGCTCTACATTTAGGGGAGATTAGATAAAAATCTCTTGACAAGATACAGGAAAGAAATATAAAAATAGAAAGACCAAAAACCAACACTGGTCTTGGAAGCCATGAGAGGAGAGAGTTTCCCTCAAATGCTGCAGAGTTTAATGAGGTTGTGAATTGAAAGGCCATCAGAGTTGGCGATCGTAAGTCATTAGGTTATTTCAGAACAATGGCTTTAGGAGTGGTGGAGATGGAAGGCCACATTCATAGGGTTAAGATGGAGAATATAGAATTCTCTTTTGAAAAGTTTCTTTTGTTTCATTTTTTAAGCAATTGAAGGCACAAGAGAGTAAAGAATGGCTGTTAGTGTTGTGAGGACGAGCAAAGAAGCCATAAAAATGGAGACACTTGAGAAGTAAGTGATAGCATGAGTTACCGGGGTGGAATGGAGCATGAGATAAAGAGCTCAGGTATGACCTGGAAGGATATATTCTTCCAAACCAGGATGTATGAAACAGGGAAGAAGCGACATGGACTTTAAGACAAGAAGAGGGCAAATTGAGGGTACTTACGTTGGTTGACCTCAAACTTTCCTTGTTACTTTTTAAAATTTTAATAAACATATTTTCCTATTACATCCTTTGCTATATCAAAAATAAAATAAAAACAAGAAGATTGCGGAGTATGGGGACCACCAGTTGCAAGAGAAAGGGAAATAGTGTAGAAGAAAGAAACCAGGGGGAAAAAAAACAGTCATTTCATTTCCCTTACACCTTTGATCAGTACCAAGTTGTCTCAGTGATTCATGAGACCTGGATTTTAAATGGTAAGATTTCAAGATTTTGAGGTCTGATATCTTTTCTTCTGGCCGTGGATAACGTATACGTGTTT